TGTGGAAAACCGATGTAGGATCACATATTTTGAACTTAGGTCAGCACTGTAGATTACATCTAGCTGAGCTGATTGTTGATTGGGCAGTGAGAATAGACTCCTCCAGTAAGAGTCTTGGCAACTTGATCCCAATTCAATTTGTAATATCCTCCCCAGGTTTTGCCTTAAGTCCATAAAAGTTATAGATAACCTCTGGACTGAACTTGTACCATGTTCCTCGGATAAAGACTTTGTAGTGCTTTGGATTGGTTGGATCACTGATTGACTGAGAAAGGTTGCAGTAAACGCACTAATTAATCAGCAGTTTAGAATATGGCCCTACATTTTCAACAGTTGCCATCAACCCAACCTCTTGAAGTAAGGCGATCACATCACACATAGAGTTTAGTTGATTGACATCCAAATTCCTCTAGACAATTAGTTCTCTTCTTAGCATGGATTCCCATTTGCTCTCCGTTTCTTCATTCAGTAAAACATGAATGAATTGAGCAACTGTCTCAGCTTGATCAGGGTTTTCAACAACCTCAGGAGTAAAACTCCTTTTCTTGCAGGTTTGGAAGCAGTCTTTTTAGTTTATGGAATATGAGCAGGTGCAGCCATGGGTGTTTTTCCCTTTGTGGCATATCTCAAATTCTTGAAGACTTGTTAAACTGGTGGATTTTTCTCTGGATCCACTACAAGAAAAATGCACATAGACAACACTAGAAAGACAACAGTTTTTAAGAAAAGTGTTGTCTTTTGTATAAAAGACAACAGTTTGGTCCAAAACCGTTGTCTTTGATGCAACACTTTTGTCAAAGACAACGGTTTTTACTTAACCGTTGTTATAAGTGTGTTGTCTTTGTGCATTTTGTGAAAAGACAACACCACAACGACAACGGTTTTTTAAAACCGTTGTCTATGTGCGTTTTTTTTTTTTAAAAGACAACGGTTTTTTTAACCGTTGTCGTTGGTGTGTTGTCTTTAAGAGCATTAGAATACACAACACTAGAAAGACAACGGTTGTTTAAAACTGTTGTCTTTGTGCACTTTTTTTTTTTTTAAAAGACAACGGTTTTATTTAACCGTTGTCGTTGGTGTGTTGTCTTTAAGCGCACTAGAATACACAACACTACAACGACAACGGTTTTATATAACCGTTGTCGTTGCGCGTTGTCTTTGGTATGTTGTCTTTAAGCGTATTTGAATACACAACACTACAAAGACAACGGTTATTATAACCGCTGTCTTTGCGCATCATTATTTAACAGTTGTATAAAACAAAAACAAGGATGTTAATAACAAGAGTTGAACTTTTGACCTCAAACTTAATAAATAAAGTCTAACCAACTAAGCAACATAAACTCTTGTGTTTGAATGTGCAACATTTCGTATATGACTGGGTTGCTTCTGTGTTGTTTGTGAAAACCAAGAAAACAATTTTAGAAAATAGTTGAAGGATCTCCTAGGAAGAATAAAACCTATGACCTCTAAGATAATAAACTAAGCTAAACCCACCAAGCCAAACCAACACTTATGTACTTGAGTAAACTAGTATACTTGATATAACCAATTTGCTTATGTGTTGTCTTTGAGAACCAAGATAATCATTGTATAAAATAGGTTAAAGATGCCACCACAAAGAATAGAACCCAAGACCTTTAACATAACAAACAAAGCGAAATCCACCAAACCACACCAACTCTTTAATACTAAAGTGTTACACCTTATCTTTTAACTATTATACCCTGAGTGTTAACAAGAATAAAAATGTAATTAAAATTTTTTGTCCAAATATATTGCATAAAAATTTAACAAAGAAAGAATACAATTCAAAAGTTAATTTAATAATTCTATTTTCGTTCATATTTAAATATAAAATTATTCACCAAAATTTCAAAGTCAATTCATTAAAGTTTTATTTTCAATTATATTACAATTAAGACCAATCTATGAATTCAAAAAAATAAAAATAAAAATATCAAGTATAAAAAATAATAGATTATATCGATAATATTTTAAAAAAAAAAAAATGGGCACCCAAAATTGAGACACGTGGAGAATGAATATGAAAGAGTAGTTGATCGATGCCGTACAGTTAGCTATCGCAAATTATGTCGTACAGTGATCAAAGTCCACTAACGGTACCGTTACCATGTCCACACTACATTATGGACACGGGTCCATAGCATAACGATTGGTTAGCTATATCCCATTTCTTTTGCCATGATCTCTTTGTAATATAATTGGGCCGCGAGTTGTCGGTAATAAACCTCGGGGTACTAAAGGGCAAATTATGCTGTGCAACCATGTGCACCATGCATGGTACACACTCTTCTATGTTCATAATAGCTGAACTATATATTCATAAATTTTGAATTGAAATTCATATTCATAATGATTGAACTCTGATCTATATTCGCAATTACAGAACTTTATGTTCATAATTTGCGTTGTTCATATTCCCAATTATGAATCTATACAATTGTATTTAAATTAGAAATATACTGTATAGAAATTATGAATCTACATTAAAGAAATCTATGAATCTCGTGTTATGTACCTATATAGCCGGTACTATTTTAATCGCAAATTATGCCTCAGGCCCGTGTCCACAATGCATTGTGGACACGAATCCAAAACGTACGACGTCGTTTTCAGTGAACTTTGATTTTGTCTCGCCGTTAACGGCGTTATTCGTTTGTGGGATTATGAATGTACAATTATGACTTTATGAATGTACAGTTATGGAATTATATATGAATGTACAAATATGGAATTATGAATGTATAGTTATGGAATTATGAACACAGAGCTCTGACATTATGAACTTACAATTATGAACATATAGTGATAAAATTATGAACATAGAGCTATAAAATTGTGAATATATAGAGCTTCGAAAATTATGACTTTACAGTTATTGAATTATGAATGTACAGTTACGGATTATGTATGCTCCTATAATAAGCGGTCTGAATTTTATTTTTTATTTTTTTAAAAAAAAAGTGGAAGATAACGGTGCCACTAACGGCACCGTTACTGTGTCCACACTGTTGGCTGTACACGGGTCCAGGACATAACAATTGTATTTTAATTGACCGGATCTAACAACCAGGATAATAAAACTAATATTTTCTTACCAAATTTTCCTCTAAAACAAAATTTCCCTCTATAAAATTTCCCTATAACACAAAATTGGTAACCAAAATTTTCTCTTCCCTCTAAGACATCATTGGCAAGTTTGTGGACGAAATTCAATTTCATTGACTAAGACAAAATTCTGCTTAGACATCACCGAACCAACTCCGCTGACCCGCCATTGTCATCGATCAGTGAGCTTCAATTCCCTCTCCGCGGACCGTCACTCTCGTTAGTTTAGGTTCCTCTCCGCAGTCAGAGTGCTCTCCGCCGACCGCTACTAGCCATCTCCGCAGTCAGAGTGGTCGCCGCCCACCGCCGTTCTCCTCAGACGCCGCCGCCGCATCCAACCTCCGACGCCGTCGCCTCGTCCAACCTCTGCCGCCATCGCCGCCTCCATCCTCTGTCACCGTCGGTCCAACCGCCGCCACCGTGGTTAGCTTTCAAATTCATCCAAAAACTTTAAGGTTAGCTTTCAAATTCATCCAAAAATTAATAAGTTGTCAAATTCATCCAAAAATTATCTGATTGTATCAATGTGTGTGTTTATGCTAAACAATTTTGGATTTAAGCTAGGGTTGGGGAATTAGGGTTTGAATTTCTGCATATAATTTGTGAAGAACAGATATGTAAAACAATTTGTTGGTTGTTGTAAGTAATGGGGGTGGCAACCTATATACATGTATGTGCAAGATTGTACGTAATTTTTTATTATTTATTTTTGTCTGAGGGAATTTAAGCATTACATATCTCCATGAATGCTGTGATTATTTCCAGTGACTTGAATAAATTAAACAGAGATACAGAGAGAAAAAAAATTGCCCTTTTTAGTATACTTTCTTTTATGCATTTTAGTTTTCTTGAGCTCTTAGTTAGGAATTTCACACATTGAACTTTGAAGTCTGAACTGAGCTGTTCTTTGTACTTAAAATTTCTTGAATTTTGTGGGTATATATTACTGAGAAGTGAGAATTTATTAAATGATTTCTTCTTATATATAAGCTATTATTGTATGAACAAGAGGTAAGGTGTTCAGAGCTGCAAAAGTCAAAACCCTAGAGGAAACCTTAAATTACTTTGGCTAGTGTGTTATTATTGTTTAAACTTTGGACTGTAAAAAATGTGGATTGTTGTAGAGAAAGAGAGAATCTTTTTTCATTGGTATTCTTCTATGCTCTTTTCAAAGCATTGGGTGTCTTTCTCATAAGTTCTTCTTTCTATGTTGAAACCGACTAATTGGCCACCAAGTTTCTCTCAAGATGTGGTACAGCTCATGTGCCTTCTCTTCTAATTATTGGTATATAAAATGCAGTCACAACATTGTTTAATAGGGGTGAGTGGACTCATGGAATCTGGGGCATGCACTTGCAGGGTAGTTCTGTCTTTTTCATAAAGTTAGAGGTTTACATTCTAACACATAAAGTAATTTAAGCTTAATTAATCTTATATATGCAGCACTATCAGCCATAATTTAGAATAATAATGCTAAGTACAGTACTTGTCAGTTGTTGCATTCATAGTTCCTTCATCTTCTTTTTTTTTTTAGAACCTCATAGTTTGGATAAATTAATGCTTTAGGAATGAGCAATTTGTTTAAAGAAAATTATGCATCACACAAGCCTTGATTATCTTTCCGATTCACATTATTTTTTGTGATCATGTTTCGATCTTGTATACATACACGTACCCCCAAAAACTGTACTTTCCCCTTCCAACCTTCCTAACTACCTCTTTCTTAGGATCCTTTACGTAGAATGCCATCCAAGCCAACTACACATATATATGTATATGTCTTTCCATTATTTTTGCCACATTATATTAATGATTTTGTAGTTGTAGTGTTTATATTATTTGTCTTGTTACTTGAATATTTTTAAGCAAATGGAAAATAGATGGTTTAATGGTCAACTAGGGATGCAACCTGACAATCAGCAGCATGACAATGAGGTATGTGTACACACTTCTCTTGGTTTGTCAAACTTTTTTTTATTTATTTGGCATTTTATTTTGAGAGATAACACTGTATTTCTGTTTGTTTTTCTGTACTTAACAAAATATTAGATAAATACGGAGTATAAAATTATTGTCTGTATGTTTTTTGGTGCTGGTGAAACTGTCTGCACTCTAAAATGTGTCATGCTTGAACTCAACAGATATATTATGGTTAGGCAACCTCATATATTAAACCTTTGCAGTGATCTGTGTATGTTTACGTTGCCTATACAGAGATCTGTTCTAGTTTTTGACTTTACATTGCATTACTCTTTGGCAATTTTCTCAAATATTGCCATTTTTTTTCATGACATCAAACTCTACTTGTTTTCTCATAGGCAGATGAGGCTTCTATCCTTGAGGATCTCACAGAGGACTTTCGCCTACCAATTAGTCACAGACCAACAGAAAATGTCGATCTAGAAAATGTTGAACAAGCACCATTAGACAAACAGTTAACATCATCCAATGTCGGATTCAGGCTTCTTCAGAAAATGGGGTGGAAAGGAAAGGGCCTTGGAAAAAATGAGCAAGGTATAATTGTTCACAGGATGATCTGGAAAGCATTGATATCTTTATGCACATATTTGATTCCCTCCTTTATCTTGGTTTACCTTCTGTGTACCATTTAAGTGTTTCCTTTATTAGATGGCTTGGCCTGATCTGTTTTTGAGTATTTCTTATTTTCATTTTCTGTTGAGTGTTTTTAGTACATGAAAACACTGCATACTCCCTCCCAACCTGACTTTGTTTCTGCAAGAATGAACTGTTTGCACTGAATTCTATCAATTCTGGAAGGCTAACCATGCAATGTTTCATCAGTGCGGACTGAAAAATATGAAATTCAGTTTTCTGCTAACCATTGTATCTGTAATTGTTTCCCCCTCTTTCCTGACTTCTAATTGTTGGTCTAAAATTGAAATATGGTTCCGACTTGGGATTTTGGAATGAGATGCAGAAATTCCATTGCCCAGTATAATTCCTACTAAATTGCACACAAAACTTGTGTGCATTGGTCCTTTTTTTTTTTTTTTGTGGTCTCATTTTGGTATATCAGTGGGCATGAGATTTGACCTGAGCCAAATGTCTAGAAAAGGAAGTTTCGCCAACAATGTTAAAACTCAAAGCTCTGTATTTGGATGCTATTGTTAACAACCTAATAGTTGAGCAAACTTTTACCAGAGGATAATATTTGTTTACAACTTAGCATTAGTTTCAAATTTCAAAATGCCATTTGTGCATGATTTTCTTGATTTCTTGTCCACTTTGCATCTAACTCTTATGGATGAGGAGAACCATATTTGGTAATGCTTTTGTCTCTTTCTTAATTCTTTACAATCTGTTTGTTTCAAGGCATCATCGAGCCAATAAAGTCCGGGATACGAGATGCAAAATTAGGGCTTGGAAAGCAAGAGGAAGATGATTATTTTACATAAGAAGAAAACATCCAGCGAAAAAAGCTTGATATTGAGTTTGAGGAGACTGAAGAACTTGCAAAGAAACGGGAGGTATGGATTTACATCTTTAAGGGTAACTATGTTGCATGGTAGAAAATCCGAGTTTGATACTTTACTTTTTCTGATACATACATCTAATAACAGAAGGCAGCACATAGTATTATCTATAATGTATTGGTCACTTGGTATTTCTCATGAGTGCTCAATTTTCTCTCCACCAACAGCTACAAGAACAATTTTGAACATTTGGAACTCCTTAAGCTTTTGGCAGATTGTTTTGAAGGCAACTGATTTTGGCCTCTCTGTGTTCATTGAGCAAGGTAAATTGCTCTCAATGATTATTGTTTGTTATTTCTTATAATAATATTTTGCATGTTTTTTAAGTATCTGTTAATTTTGTTGTTGTTGTCATGGTCTTGTCAAAAATCATATAATTATTTTACAAATTTATTATATCTATACTAATTTATTTACTCACTATTTACATGTAGTTCCAACAAGTTGATTATGACAAAGCGGTTATTGATCTAGTGCGTTCAGAATGGGCTGATATTCTATCAAGTTATATAGAGTAGGTATGATTTGACGTTGTGATCATTTAGACTTGGTGTGTGGATCGGAATTGTTTTTTGTAGTATTATGACTTGGATGATGATTTGATTAGAATTGGTCATGTTCAGTATTTTGACTTGTTATTATGAACCTTGCTTAGCTTGTGCAATGTAACTGCACTTGGCCATGGTGAATGGATAAATGCTTCTATTTTTTTTATATGATTAAAATTTAAGCAGGTTAAAAACGAGTTGAGACAACGGTTAAACGTTGTCTATTTTACAATAGACAACAGTTTATGGGTGCGACTTTTAACAACAGCGATTTCAACAACACACAATAGACAACATTTTATAACTGTTGTCTTTCAAAGAAAAGACAACAGTTAAAAACCGTTGTCTATGTGCATCACTTTTAACAACACCAGTTTCAACAACATTGAATTAACAACGGGTCAAAAACCGTTGTCTTTGGAAGAAACGACAACGGTTTAAAACCGTTGTCTATGTTCGTGACTTTTAACAACACCGGTTTCAACAACACTTAATAGACAACGGTTAAAAAACCGTTGTCGTTTCTAGAAAAGACAACGGTTATTAACCATTGTCTATGTGCGTGACATATAACAACACCGGTTTCAACAACACTTAATAGACAACGGTTAAAAAACCGTTGTCGTTTCTAGAAAAGACAACGGTTATTAACCGTTGTCTATGTGCGTGACATACAACAACACTGGCTTCAACAACACTTAATAGACAACGGTTAAAAAACCGTTGTTGTTTCTAGAAAAGACAACGGTTATTAACCGTTGTCTATGTGCGTGACATACAACAACACCGGCTTCAACAACACTTAATAGACAATGGTTAAAAAACCGTTGTTGTTTCTAGAAAAGACAACGGTTATTAACCGTTGTCTATGTGCGTGACTTACAACAACACCAGCTACAACAACACTTAATAGACAACGGTTAAAAACCGTTGTTGTTTCTAGAAAAGACAACGGTTAAAAAACCGTTGTCTATGCGCGGGACTTACAACAACACCGGCTTCAACAACAGAAATTATACCCCTACGACAACGGTTATTAACCGTTGTCTATGTGCATTTTTCTTGTTGTGATCAGTAGAAATAGGAACCTTTCTTCTCTTGTCAGAATAAGTTATCAAGCTTGACTCAGTAGATGGATCAACACACTTCTCAGGTTGTCTTTTTCTTTTTATCTATTTTGCTTGAGAACTCTCGTTGTTGGTAATAGGAGATTATGGTCTCATCAATGAACTCAATATTCCCAGATTCAACATCAGGTTATGACACATGAGTTTCCTCAGTAGGATGATCAGTCATTTCCACATATATATTAGAGAAACCCACAATTTAACTTTTACCAAATATCAAAGACACAATTTCAAGAGGCTGAAATGGTACTAGCTATCTAACATCGCAGAAATGGTACTCGCTATCTAACATCATACTCTAAGATCCCATGTTCTCATCATTCGTACAGGTTATATTTCCCAATTCTATGGTTTGCCTGGGTCTAAAAACCATAATGAAAGATTATAAAAAAGAAGAATAAAACACACATGAATCTAAAAGACTAACAACACGTTTAATTCATGGAATATGCTTAGAATGGTATAGAATTCCTATGAGTATGCTTATTCCATCATTTGGTAAGTTTATAAATTTAAGAAAATACTATTCTCAAGAATATGATATGCTTGAAAATAAATATCTTTTATTATTATTAGGACTATATTATTCATATTAGACTAGGACTATATTATTCGTGTTAGACTAGGACTCTATCTAGTATCTATATATTCGCTCTCTATAATCTCAGACATTATTACTGAACACAACACTTTTACATACACTCTCATCTGGTATCATCTTATAGGTTTTTCTCCCATGGATGGTCTCGGTCTCCCTGATGATGGCTCTGTTCGATCTTCTGAACGGACCGTTACCGTGACCTACCCTGTGCACATCGGGAACAGCCTCTCATCGGCTCATCACTTTGTCTCTCTGAAATTGACCCCCCGTAATTATCTTTTCTGGCGAACACAGATGCTGCCATTCCTAGAGGGTCAAGGCCTTCTTGGTTTCATCGATGGTAGTATACCGTATCCGGTCGCAGCACCGGTCGCCGTTGCCTCGACCGCCGACAGCCTAGCGGCGACGGGTGAGCTCGTAGCCCGGCAGGTGGTTTGGAGGAGGCAAGACAAGGCCATATTGTCTCTCTTAATTTCGTCCCTTTCAGAGGAGACAATGCGGTTCGCCGTTGGTCGTTCTACTTCGCGGCAACTGTGGCTCACCATCGAACAATCTCTTGCTTCTTCCTCGCGTTCTCGGGCGTTGCGGTTGTTCGGTGAGTTGCAACCCCTTCGGCAGGGAGACTCTTCCATCGCAGATTATATTGGTCGTGATGTTACGTTAGACGATCAAAACGTGTACGTCTTTCGTGGCTTACGGTCTGAATTTCGTCCGCTTGTGGCAACCCTAGCTCGAGGTACTACGGTTTCTCTTGTGGAGGTGGCAGATTTATTGGTATCGCAGGAGTGGATCTGCGCTGACGATGGTCGCTGGCTATAGAGGTCCGGCTTCAGGCCGCGGTGGCCATGGCGGTGCGACGCAACAACAAGGTCGCGGTCGGGGCTCGGGCGACAGGCGTGGCCGTGGATGCGGGCGTGGCTCGGGCATGGGACCACGGTGCCAGATCTGTGACAAACAAGGACACGGGGCCCTCTCGTGTTGGTATCGTTTCTCGACCCCCCCTTGGCACCGCAAGCGAATGTGGCTGTCTCCGGTGAGATTGGTGATCCCAGTGGTCCTCATGAGTGGTTCCCGGACACTGGCGCTACGAATCATGCTACGCCTGATTCATCCTTGATGACTTCCGCGACAAGTTATGATGGCCCGGAAACTCTGCGAGTCGGCAGTGGTACAGGTTTGCCTATTGTTAATGTTGGTTCCGCTTCGTTAGCTACTAATTCTATGTATTTTTAGTTCCGTGATGTTTTGCATGTCCATGATCTCTCCTCTTCTTTACTGTCTGTTCAGCGCTTTGCGAAAGACAATAATGTTTTCTTTGAGTTTCACCCACTTTATTTCTATGTGAATGACATTTTAACAAAAAAGATTCTTTTTAAGGGGCATGCGTCTGGGGTCTCTACAAGTGGCCCACGTCTTCTGTGTCTGGGGGTCCCCATTTCCATTTCCTACATTTGTATACTCCTTACCTTTTCTACATTAAAAACAAATAGACCGAATTGTCTAAATGGTTTTTTTTTTTTGTCGGCCCATCCAATTTCCTCTGACTCCAAATGTCTAACCCTAACCCTAACCCTTTATATACTCGTTAGCATTTCCCCCATCTACCATCCCGGCCTCCCCCTCCCTCTCTCTCTAAACACCAAAATCCTCTCTCAGTTTAATCTTCTCTGTCGCTCTCAATATCTCTTAACTCTCGTCTCTCGATTGAAAAACAAGGTTTCCTTCAATCGTCATTGAAACTCCTTAGATTAAGAAGGTAATCTCTAGTCTCATCCCCTTTGCTAGCTATAAGACTTGATTTTTTAAAATTTTTTTTTTTACAAGTGTAGATGTATGTTGTCCATTTGAACAACCAACAAAAAAAAAAAAAATTTGTTTTTTGTAAAGAAATTGAAATGGGGAAAATATGGACAAATTTATTTTGAAACATATTTTTTTTGAATACATTTTCTATTTTTCCTAAATTTTCTTAGTTAATACACCCGCATTTACAAACTCGTCCCCAATTAAATACGAGGAAGAGAAAAAAAAAAACACTACTAAAATTCAAATAGCTTTTGCGCTATTTTGATACAATTCTCTCTATCTCTCTATATATATATATATATATATATATATATCTCTCTCTCTCTCTCTCTCTCTCTCTCTCTCTCTCTCTCTCTCTCTCTATATATATATATATATATATATATATATATATATATATATATATATATATATATATATATACTTCTAAAAAAATTTCAAGTTTTCATTTTCATTAGAAAGCTATTAAATGCGTTCAAATCTATTTATTTATCAAGAGTTAATACCATATGAGGTCCTCCGAGTATAGTGGTTTTGCCACGTTTAGTCCTAAACTTTCAAATTGACCATCTGTGGTCCTTCGACTTTCAAATTTAACCATTCGTGGTCCAAGTTAACCACCCATGGTCCTTCAACTATTAAATTTTAACCAACCATGGTCCTTTCGAAACTTGAAGGACCATTTGTGGTTAACTTGGACCACGAATGGTTAAATTTGAAAGTTGAAGGACCACAGATGGTCACTTTGAAAGTTTAGGACTAAACGTGGCAAAACCACTATACTCGGAGGACCTCAGATGGTATTAACTCTATTTATCAATTTATAAAATATGAAACTAATACACATTAAATTTTTTTTTCAAAAAGCAATAAAAATGTAGTGACAATTGATAAAAGTATCAAGTAATATTGTAACTATATAGGTTGTTATGGCCTTGTGGTTAGGTAGATTGGATAAAGTTAGAAATAATAGTAAAACAAGTAAAAGAAATATGAATTTGATAAATGGGATGATGGATAGTAAGTAGAGATAGTGGCAAATAGCTACGTGGGAATAATTTTATTTTTTAAAATTCTTATTAGCAGTTAATTAAAAATTAAATATTCATAATGTGATAAATGGGATGATCGATAGTAAGTAGAGATAGTGCAAATAGCTACGTGGGAATAATTTTATTTTTTAAAATTCTTATTAGCAGTTAATTAAAAATTAAATATTCATTTATTCTCACAGATAATTAATTTTTTTTTTTGAGTACTTATAGATAATTAGTTAAAAACAAAATAAATTAATTCTATAATAATATACATATTGAAATTAATCAATGATGTAACACTAGCAATACTTATTGGAATCTTTTTGTAATTTGTATGGCTTTTATTCCTTTTGTATTGACATTCAAATTTCTTATGGATAGTGGGAAGGATATTAGATAACAATTACATTCAAATTTCAAATTTCTTATTCCTTTTGTACTGACATTCATATTTGTAAGGATCTTGAGTTTGGTATAAATATATAATTAATTTTCTTTTTTTTTTTATTTTCAGATAACAAAAGCTAAGGAAGTTTAATCTAAGACACACAATCAAGATGTCATTCCCTACTCCTAAGCGAAAGCGCCATATGCCACAACCAAATTTGAATCAAGATATTATCACAGAAATCCTTAAAAGGCTGTATGTGAAGTTTCTGCTGCAATTTAGGTGTGTTTCAAAAGCTTGGCGTGATTTAATCTCATCTCCAGAATTTGTCAAATTCCACATACATTTTCAATCGAAAAAAGATAATAAGGTCATGACTCATAGCAGCGTAAATTGGATTACTAGCTATATGTCCTTGTTTTCTGTTACATAGAAGAAGCAATCATCATTTCGCAAGTTTATTACATATGACCGCTTGGTCTTAATCCCTGAAGGTGGTTTCGAATTGTTGGGTTCTTCCAATGGGGTCCTTTGCTTTCGTGCTAAACCGTATAGAATAATCATTTGGAACCCATCATCAAATGGAAACATCAAGACAATCCCAGATGTCTGGCAGTTGGGCAACATCAGCATTTTTGGATTTGGGTACGATGAGTGTAATGATGACTATAAGGTTGTTTATGCTTATTATGATGGCAATGGTGATGAGACTATAGTCTTGGTTTACAGTTTTAAGCATGGGTCATGGAAAAGAAGTGAAAGAGGATTTATTAGTGGGTTTGTTCACCCAAGAATTGCTGTGTTTGTGAGTGGTAATCTTGTGGAGGTGGCAGATTTATTGGTATCGCAAGAGTGGATCTGCGCTGACGATGGTCGCTGGCTTTAGAGGTCCGGCTTCAGGCCGCGGTGGCCATGGCGGTGCGACGCAACAACAAGGTCGCGGTCGGGGCTCGGGCGACAGGCGTGGCCGTGGATGCGGGCGTGGCTCGGGCATGGGACCACGGTGCCAGATCTGTGACAAACAAGGACACGGGGCCCTCTCGTGTTGGTATCGTTTCTCGACCCCCCCTTGGCACCGCAAGCGAATGTGGCTGTCTCCGGTGAGATTGGTGATCCCAGTGGTCCTCATGAGTGGTTCCCGGACACTGGCGCTACGAATCATGCTACGCCTGATTCATCCTTGATGACTTCCGCGACAAGTTATGATGGCCCGGAAACTCTGCGAGTCGGCAGTGGTATAGGTTTGCCTATTGTTAATGTTGGTTCCGCTTCGTTAGCTACTAATTCTATGTATTTTAAGTTCCGTGATGTTTTGCATGTCCATGATCTCTCCTCTTCTTTACTGTCTGTTCAGCGCTTTGCGAAAGACAATAATGTTTTCTTTGAGTTTCACCCACTTTATTTCTATGTGAATGACATTTTGACAAAGAAGATTCTTTTTAAGGGGCATGCGTCTGGGGTCTCTACAAGTGGCCCACGTCTTCTGTGTCTGGGGGTCACCATTTCCATTTCCTACATTTGTATACTCCTTACCTTTTCTACATTAAAAACAAATAGACCGAATTGTCTAAATGGTTTTTTTTTTTTTTTTTTTTTGTCGGCCCATCCAATTTCCTCTGACTCCAAATGTCTAACCCTAACCCTAACCCTTTATATACTCGTTAGCATTTCCCCCATCTACCATCCCGGCCTCCCCCTCCCTCTCTCTCTAAACACCAAAATCCTCTCTCAGTTTAATCTTCTCTGTCGCTCTCAATATCTCTTAACTCTCGTCTCTCGATTGAAAAACAAGGTTTCCTTCAATCGTCATTGAAACTCCTTAGATTAAGAAGGTAATCTCTAGTCTCATCCCCTTTGCTAGCTATAAGACTTGATTTTTAAAAAATTTTTTTTTTACAAGTGTAGATGTATGTTGTCCATTTGAACAACCAACAAAAAAAAAAAAATTTGTTTTTTGTAAAGAAATTGAAATGGGGAAAACATGGACAAATTTATTTTGAAACATATTTTTTTTGAATACATTTTCTATTTTTCCTAAATTTTCTTAGTTAATACACCCGCATTTACAAACTCGTCCCCAATTAAATACGAGGAAGAGAAAAAAAAAACACTACTAAAATTCATATAGCTTTTGCGCTATTTTGATACAATTCTCTCTATCTCTCTATATCTCTCTCTCTCTCTCTCTCTCTCTCTCTCTCTCTCTATATATATATATATATATATATATATATATATATATATATATATATATATATATATATATACTTCTAAAAAAATTTCAAGTTTTCATTTTCATTAGAAAGCTATTAAATGTGTTCAAATCTATTTATTTTTCAAGAGTTAATACCATATGAGGTCCTCCGAGTATAGTTGTTTTGCCACGTTTAGTCCTAAACTTTCAAATTGACCATCTGTGGTCCTTCGACTTTCAAATTTAACCATTCGTGGTCCAAGTTAACCACCCATGATCCTTCAACTATTAAATTTTAACCAACCATGGTCCTTTCGAAACTTGAAGGACCATTTGTGGTTATCTTGGACCACGAATGGTTAAATTTGAAAGTTGAAGGACCACAGATGGTCACTTTGAAAGTTTAGGACTAAACGTGGCAAAACCACTATACTCGGAGGACCTCAGATGGTATTAACTCTATTTATCAATTTATAAAATATGAAACTAATACACATTAAATTTTTTTTTTTTCATAAAGCAATAAAAATGTAGTGACAATTGATAAAAGTATCAAGTAATATTGTAACTATATAGGTTGTTATGGCCTTGTGGTTAGGTAGATGGGATAAAGTTAGAAATAATAGTAAAACAAGTAAAAGAAATATGAATTTGATAAATGGGATGATGGATAGTAAGTAGAGATAGTGGCAAATAGCTACGTGGGAATAATTTTATTTTTTAAAATTCTTATTAGCAGTTAATTAAAAATTAAATATTCATAATGTGATAAATGGGATGATCGATAGTAAGTAGAGATAGTGCAAATAGCTACGTGGGAATAATTTTATTTTTTAAAATTCTTATTAGCAGTTAATTAAAAATTAAATATTCATTTATTCTCACAGATAATTAATTTTTTTTTTTGAGTACTTATAGATAATTAGTTAAAAACAAAATAAATTAATTCTATAATAATATACATATTGAAATTAATCAATGATGTAACACTAGCAATACTTATTGGAATCTTTTTGTAATTTGTATGGCTTTTAATCCTTTTGTATTGACATTCAAATTTCTTATGGATAGTGGGAAGGATATTAGATAACAATTACATTCAAATTTCAAATTTATTCCTTTTGTACTGACATTCATATTTTTAAGGATCTTGAGTTTGGTATAAATATATAATTAATTTTGTTTTTTTTATTTTTTATTTTCAGATAACAAAAGCTAAGGAAGTTTAATCTAAGACACACAATCAAGATGTCATTCCCTACTCCTAAGCGAAAGCGCCATATGCCACAACCAAATTTGAATCAAGATATTATCACAGAAATCCTTAAAAGGCTGTATGTGAAGTTTCTGCTGCAATTTAGGTGTGTTTCAAAAGCTTGGCGTGACTTAATCTCATCTCCAGAATTTGTCAAATTCCACCTACATTTTCAATCGAAAAAAGATAATAAGGTCATGACTCATAGCAGCGTAAATTGGATTACTAGCTATATGTCCTTGTTTTCTGTTACAGAGAAGAAGCAATCATCATTTCGCAAGTTTATTACATATGACCGCTTGGTCTTAATCCCTGAAGGTGGTTTCGAATTGTTGGGTTCTTCCAATGGGGTCCTTTGCTTTCGTGCTAAACCGTATAGAATAATCATTTGGAACCCATCATCAAATGGAAACATCAAGACAATCCCAGATGTCTGGCAGTTGGGCAACATCAGCATTTTTGGATTTGGGTACGATGAGTGTAATGATGACTATAAGGTTGTTTATGCTTATTATGATGGCAATGGTGATGAGACTATAGTCTTGGTTTACAGTTTTAAGCATGGGTCATGGAAAAGAAGTGAAAGAGGATTTATTAGTGGGTTTGTTCATCCAAGAATTGCTGTGTTTGTGAGTGGTAATCTCAACTGGTGCAACAACAACTTACATGAAAGTGAATGGAATTGGGATATAATTTCTTTTAACTTAACCACTTAAACTGTCAAACCTATGGCGTTACCCAGCCATGAACATGCGGCCGCTATTTGTATAAGTGAATCAAGAGGATTGCTTTTTGCAGGTGTTCATCACAAACGTCAAATGGAAGTTTGGGTGATGAATGAGTACGGAGTTGAAGAATCTTGGACTAAACTAGTCTGCATTTCAAACTTACCAGTTCATCATCCAGTTTCCCGGGGTTTCGAGAACACTACATACATGGCTATATGTAATGCTAAACTTGCAATCGCACATGTTTCTGAAAATGGGGATATTCTAATGATGGTTGGACGTCAGTTAAAGCTCCATAGGCCTAATGCTAAAGGGGGAAAGAATTTTAATATCCCCTTTGGTCTTGGTTATATGGTAACTAGTTACGTGGAGACCCTTGTTTCCCCGGCCATGATTGGTCTGTAAATGATGATAGATGAAGTGGGCTACCAGGCGACCAACAACAACAACAACAATGATTATTGTGTTATTGGTATTTTAGTGTTGTGAATTAAATTTTACTAGCCATCGCTGTTGAGAACTATTGATTTGTGTGAATGCAAAAAGGTAAGCTATCCTAGAAATGATTATAAGTTAAATTTCATTGCATTTTACAACGTACAGACACACTGTTTTCGATATATATGTGAAGCTTTGTACTCTTGGACTAGACGTATTCTGATCTTAACCCCCAACGCATCGTGTTAAGGGTTATGACTTTGAGCGATTATATTATCAATTGTAATTTTGAGGATAGAAAAATGGAGACAAAGATGAAAGCTTGAAACTTGAATATGGGGTAAATTTCTTCCATAGAGTGGGAGTTTTAATTTATTGACTATTGACATTTATCAATTTTTTTTCTCAAACTTTTAATTTGACCATATATTGTCTCATGACTATTGATCTTTAACAATTTTCATCATTTACGTACTTTTGATATGACCATAAATGGTCCATTGACTATTAATTTTGTTCTCAATTTAAAATATGAACCAAATCTAGAACAAAATCAATAGTCAGTGGACTATTTTCTCCTCCAATACCTTCTATCGTTGGAACTTCAAGAATATTCCCGTTAAGTTATGGTATAGAGTGCTTTCCTAATTTAGTCCTTTTTATTGGTTCAGTACCCTATGCAACTTTATCCACAACCTTGGGAAACTGATGAGGTTCTTCTACCCCTCTCTTAGTCCCTTAGCTTCCAATTAGTCAGTCACCAGGTTGATAGAGTCCTTGCCAAATTTGCTCTCGTTGAAAACATTCTCAGATGAGATTTCAACATCATCTACTCCTTTTAGACCAACTTCTTTTGATCTCTCTATTCCTTCCAGAGTAACTTCAGCTTGTGGCTCCCTTCAACCATTAACATGGAAGAATGTCCAGGGGCCACTGTTAGGCTTGCCTCATGTTCAGCTCTGGAGAGATGGGTGGCAGCTTCTAGATTTCACTGATCATAATTATCTTTGCCATCGTCGTGGATAGAAGGCCCTTATTCTTTAGCTGTTTTCTTCCCAATCAACTTAGAACCTTTTTGGATCAAGAATTCTTCTAAGGGACTAAATTTTTAAATTTTAGAGTGCATTTCATCTCCAATTATGTTGTAGGTTGCGTCTTCCATTACACGCATAGTTACTCCCGTAATCTCTAACCTAAGTGAATATTGTTTTCCATCCTGTGAAATCAAGATACAACAAAACAACACAAAGAACTACACCAAATATTCCCAACAGTAATCACAATTTCAACAATTAATCAAGATCTTTATACAAGAAACATTAATCAAAACCACTTTCCCTGAGGATCAAATCAATATATAGATTTAAAAGCTCTAATACCAATTGAGAATTCAAGTGTTCCTCGATAATATCCGATTGACCTAAACTTACTTAACTGTTTATTTCAATTACAAATACTGACTCAATTTTGGTTTAATCAGACGGTAAGCTAGATTTCAAATTTGTGTAGTAAACTAATCAAATGGTAAGAAAATGAACACAAGGGTTTGTTTACCCAGTTTGATGCAATCACATATACGTCTAAAGAACCACCAACGATGGATCCAATTCATTATCTCCAAAGATGTTCAAACTGATAGTAAGAGAACTGTCTCACTAGTGATGTGATATACCCTAGTTTGTATGTACCCAATATGCAAAACACCATAGATGGGCTATAGAGCTCGAAGAACCACACTTTCAGCTATCCGAAGGAGATCGGAGATCCATGTTCCAATTGTCCTACTCAGTAATTCACCCATCGCTCAACCAGAGTTAACATGAAACACGACCCTCATGTAAATATTTAATCACCAATGTTTTCGTCAAGATCAATGTAACTGTTGGGAAAAATCCCACTTCCTGTGACAACGAAAAATCACAGAACCGACAGGAGCACAAACACAAGATGATACACAATATCCAAAAATAAATAACAAAGCAAGGAACACAAGATTTACGTGGAAACCCCAAAACCACGGGGAAAAACCACGGGACCACCACCACCAACAATTCCACTATAACTTTACTGGATGAACATGGGACAAATGAAGAGTGAATGGAAATTAAATTTTCACCTCTTCATATGCATGTATTAAAGAGAAAAACTCTTCTACTCCCTAACTCCTTATATCCCCAATAAGAATATTATTATTTTTATTATAATAATTATTATGGCTCAAACGATTTGGTCATCATGTCAGACCCATTATCATCAGTATGAATATTTTCAAGTTCAAGCATCTTGCATTCTAAGATATCTCTAAGCCAATGATATCTCGTGTCAATATGTTTTGACTTGTAATGAAACTTAGAGTTCTTTGCAAGATGAACTGCACTCTGACTATCCCAATAGAGCACATACCTATCCTGAACAAACCTGAGCTCCTGAATAAACTTCTTCATCCATAGCATTTCTTTATTGGCCTCAACAGATGCTATGAACTCAGCTTCAGTGGTAGACAAAGCAATACACTTTTGCAATCTTGATTGCCATGAAACTGCTCCGATCCCCCTGCATAGGTAATCAGATAGCCTGAAGTAGATTTCCTAGTATCAATGTCTCCGGCCATATCAGAATCTGATAGGAATATTTTTGTAAGTTTTGATGAGCCAAATGTACTTTAGATCCCCTTAGTTTTTAGGTCTTTTAGTACAAGCATCATAAATCAGAATATCAAGTCAAAGGGAATCTACCATATGAAGAACAAAATTAATTTGGGAAATTAATTTTGGTCCTACGAGTATTCATCCGAGAAAGAACCATAAAGGAATGGCGTTGCAAAAAATGACTGGATGAGCCTAACAGTGAAATGGTAGAAGTCTTTACTTAAAACAATCATACTCGAGATTGATTCCCCCTAAGGACTTATTTTTTACAAAGTTAAGAATTCGGACAAGCACAATGTCTTAAAGAAGCACGATGCGAACGAACAAGCACAATGTGTACAAGCAAGATGTGCCAAAGGAGCACAATGTCTAAAAAGGAGCACAATGTTCTAAAAGATCACAATGTGAACAAGCACGATGTGTCCAAAGGAGCACAATGTGACCAAATCAGAGAAGCACAATGTGACCAAATCAGAGAAGCACAATGTTCAAGTCAAACAAGCAAGAAGTGCCTAAGTCAAAGGGGCACAATGTCTAAAAAGGAGCACAATGTTCTAAAGGATCACAATGTGAACAAGCACGATGTGTCCAAAGGAGCACAATGTGACCAAATCAGAGAAGCACAATGTTCTAGTCAAACAAGCAAGAAGTGCCTAAGTCAAATGAGCACAATGTGGCAAAGAAGCAAGATGATCTGAAAATGGATAAATTCGAAGGAATTTATTTTGAATCAGCCCACATGCACAAGAATCCAAAATTGCCTGAAGATATTGATCAGAACGGAAAAAATATTTATGAAGACATGAATATAAAAACTTATCCTAGAAATAAATTCTATCAGAAGAATTTATTTCAAGGATTCGTTGGAAATTCAAATTGACAACAAAAATAATATTTTAAGAAACAACTTGAAAATCAAGTTGAGATAAAATATTATTTTGTCAGGCAAGTTGACAATCAAATCAAAATTGAAGATCTACTATTGTCAACAATATCAGGATAAGAAGATTCAAATTTCAAATATCAAATTATCCCACTCCAACGAATATATTTGATTGCCTATAAAAAGCCATGAAGACTTGAAGACAAAAGATAGAGGTGAATACAAAAAATACGAACAAGTGAATACACACGAGATAAGAAGTGCAAGTGCTCAAATATTCTTAGAGACTTTGTCTGAATAGTCTCAAAACTAGTTGGAGAGAGATAGAATTACCTTTGTATTTGTAATTGTATAAAGGAGTATAGCTGTGTGCAAAATACTCTAGTGAGTGTAGCTATGTGCAAAACACTCGTAGTTGCTAAGTGTAGCTGTGGGCAAAACACTTAGTTGGCGTTGAGTGTAGCTATGTGCAAAACACTCGTAGTTGCTAAGTGTAGCTGTGGGCAAAACACTTAGCTGTGTGCGAAATACTTAGAGTTGAGTGTAGCTGTGTGCGAGACACTCGGAGTTGGGTGTAGCTGTGTACAAGACATCCGGAAGAAGTGCTTGTGTTGTAGCGCTTATTCACTATTGTAACTGTGTGTGAAAAATAGTGAATTACTCCTATAAGTGAATGGAGTAAAGTGGACTAGGAAGATTACGCCACTTCCGAACCACTATAAAAAGCCTCTCTCATTTACATACCGCTCTTACATAATTTGCTCTATCTATCTATCTTATCAGACTAACCCGTTTACTATTCATAGTTAATCTTAATCTTTCGGGTTTAGTGTGTTTTCACGTATGCATGTGACTTAAACTTTCCAAGCTTAAATATTGAATTATTCTAAGCAAGTTTGACGTGTTGCATGTGACGTTCGTCATACGGTCGACGTGATACGATATCTTATTTATAATCTTGAATATTATTGTTAAATATTGAGTGAACCATCTCCTTTAAATATTCAAGATATTCATATCATTCTCACACCTCATCTGAACTTATCATACACGTGCATGTGATTCAAATTATTGATTGGGCATAACTCTTTACGTATTCCGTTGTGCAGTTCAAACATACTCTATTTACTTGTTACTTAGAGTTGAAGTTACCAAAAGAGTCATCTATTTTGAAAAAGTTTGAAAGTCTATTCACCCCCCCTCTAGACTTTCACCACCCTATCGGGACCAACAATTGGTATCAGAGCGGTTGTCTATTCGAGTCAATTTTGACTGCTAGACAGATCTCGAAAAATCAAGATGATGAAAAGAGATATGGCTCTTGCCCAAAATCTACTGTTTCCTTAGAAAAATTTGATGATTGGAAAATTCGCATGCGATACATTTATCCGCGTTACATGATGAAATGTGGGAAGTAGTTACGAGTGGTCCTATTG